GTTGCAGGTAGCTTATAAGGCAATGTAGGGACTAATTATTATTTTATTTATCAGAACTTTAATATATTTTGATGTTCCTCTGTTCTGTTGACAATAAAAGAAACACGTTTCTTTTTAAAATGCATTATATTATTTTAGTTAAAACTCATAAATTACTACAAATAACTAAAGTTAGGGAAATCTGTTAATGTTTTGTTGCACGTTTCTGGATTTAAAAAAAAATATATATATATCGGCCGATATATCGGAATATTGGATTTTAAAACCAGCAAATATTTGTATCGGTATCGGCCTTCAAAATCCTTTATCGGTCGGGCTCTAGTTGCTACTGTGTTTGGGGTGGAGTTAGTGTGTTGTTATGAATTTTTATGTTCAGTATATTCAGCAGTAATCAGTTTTTACTAATTTCCATGCATTTCCAATAATAAGCTAGCCAATCGTATTAAAGAGTAACTAAACACTAAACCAACTTTTTTTAGTTAATGATCTGTAAGAATGGATCTTTATTAATACCAGTCATTGATTCAAGTAACTTTTTTGACATTTGTTTATAAAGTGTTCTATTTCTACAATATATGGTGTGAACGCGTCTTAGTGCTGCCCTCTTCAGGTTGAACGGTGGCTACTGCAGTTTAATTTTCCTATTGGATTTTAGCGGTTCTTCGTGACGTACGCAGCTTTAAGCTCACCACACGAACTACGCCCTTGGCAATATAAAAACCATCTTGTGTCGTCAAAACCACAGTAGGGAGTCAGGAATTGGAATTGTGAGTATTGAAAACGATCAGGATAGAGTGTTTTAGCATCTATTGCATCCCCTCTATCTCCGCTGGGGTCTGCCCACTTTTTCAGCATTCAAATATTGCCAGTGGGTGGAGTCAGGCTCTGACTAGGGGTTTAGTTACCCTTTAAACTTAATTGGCGTATATACAACCTCATTTCCAGAAAAGATTGGACATTATGTTAAACATAATAAAAAACAAGAATCTGTGATTTTGTTAATTCTCTTTCAATTTTATTATATTTTTGTGAAGATAAACAATTATTTTTTTATTGGCTGCAATACACTCCAAAATGTTGGGACATAGGCATGTTCACCGCTGCGTCACATTACCTTTCCTTTTATTTAACCTTTTTAATCATTTGTGAATTGAGGATACTAATTGTTGCAGTTTGCAAGAGGAATTTCTCCCCAATCTCTCCTGATGCTGCTCAAGAGTTCATGGTAATCATCTGATTCACCTTTTCATGATGGGCTATACATTTTCGATAAAAGACAGACCTGTCAAGCACATCCACTCTACAGTGCAGAGTGTCTAAGAAACCACTCTGTTGAAGAAGATGCAGAATAAGGCCTGAGATTGTCTCGCTTCCCAGGAAAGATGTCATCTTGGTGGCAGGATATACTGTATGTCTCTGTACAATCCCAATATACACTTCCACATCAATGGTACCTTCACACATTTTCAAGTCACCCATGCTGTTTGCACCCCATACCATGACAGATGTTTTCTTTTGCACCTGTTGCTGATGAAAATCTGGATGGTCCCTTTCGGCTTTGGAACTGGGAAATTGCTTCTCTTTTTCCTCAAAACAATCTGAAACATGGTCTCCTCATGGACTGACTTCAGCACACATTTCCACTGTCTTTTGGACCGGCGGAGATGAGCTTATAGGACGAGAAAACTCAGCCGCATCTCTGCATAGAATTGATGTATATCCTTCTCCTTGCATAAATGGAGATTCAAGTTACATTTCTTGATGCAGAGGCAGACTGTTAAGTGACAATGTTTTTTTTATTTATTTTTTTTAAACAGAGTAGCTTGACAGTATCTTATTCAGTGCCGTCTGGGGGCTCAAAGGTCCCCTGCCTTAACCTACTGTACATAGGCTGAGATTGATCTTAATTCCCTGAAACTTTTCACTATGTATGGTAGATGGGGAAACACCTACATTCTTTGCAATTTTGCAAAGAGAAAATTTTGAATTCTTACAATTCTTTCTTGAAATTTGGCTCAAAGTGGTGAGCCGTGATGAACCCATCTTTGCTTGCAGTTTACCTGTTCATTGTAGACTCTTTCAAAATGTTTAACTTGGATATTCTATAGACCATTTCACAAGATGTAAACAACACTGGTCCAGAAGCACTTCCTGTTTCAGTTTTTTAACACTACATAAAAGCTGGGATAAAATACAACCAAAAGAACATTTAAAACTGAATCAAAAAGTTAAACAAACATTTTTAAGATGTTTTCTTTACATGTGAAATAAAGAAAACAGTTACAAACTGAAACAGGAAGTGCTTCTGGACCAGTGTTGTTTACATCTTGTGAAATGGTCTATAGTCTCTATATTTTTTCACATTCATTTTGCCTCTGTCCCAACGCATTTGGAGTGTGTTGCAGCCATCAAAATTTTATTTTTGGTTTATATACCAAATAAATCACTTATGTTGGCCAGCGGAAACATTGCAAATCATTTATTCATAGTTTTGTCAGTTAGACAAATGTGCAAGAGAAGAACAAACCACAGATTATTTTACAAAATGTGGGGTTCTATATCTGAAAGGTAGCAGATATAGTACAACTTTGTTAATTCTTAAGGGCAGATAAAGGAAATAAAAAAGGTCATGAAAATCTATATTTCAGTGTATGTTACATTGTAAATGTCTAACCTTTTTGACACACATTGACTAACTATTTTAACTTAAGTGAAACTTTAAATGAGTCATGCTCTACACTTCTGTTGCATTTTCCCATAGTTACTCTGTTCATGTTATAAGATCTTATCCTGTAACATTGTACCCTGATGTTGTTTGTATGGAGTGTGGGAAAAATCACATCACATCCTGTTGTCCTTTGCTGTACTGTTTTCTTTAGTTAGGAATCATGGCTAATTTATTCATATGTAATCTGTAACCTTTTGAATTGAACTCTGGAAGTGGAATGTTCCAGTGAAACTCAAAGAGCCAGACGTTACAGAAATGTTATTTCTGTCTACTCTTGACCTTCATGTAAGGTCAAAAAGTGGGTAGAAAATGAACACAAATTACAGTTTGATGAAACTGTATGATGCGCACACACACACACAAAGAAAATTCATATAAAAACCAAAGTCATTAAGGAAAAATGGTGTACAAATGCAATGGATATATTTTATAAGTGAACAATAATGCCCCAAATTACACTTGCATTTAACCTAAAAGCAAAGTACCCACAGGACTGCGAATTATATTGAATGAACTTTCTGATCTTTCTGGAATTACAAGCCTTCGTTGCAGCAGATCAGTGTCAGTCTGCGTATTAGCGCTGGTCTATGTAATGAGCCTTGCAATGCATCCTTGTGGCCTCTCTTGATTGATGTCAATGAATAATTTATCAAACCAACAGTCAAAAGTGCAAAGTTAGTATTCCTCCCCACCCCGTTGTGAATCCCTACATATTGCTCTTTTGGCAAATCTTACACTCATAAGCTTGAAAGAGCCATTTTCCAAACCCTACGTTCTTCCAAAATAAGATTTAAGGAGAAAGTAATGAGAACCCTTTTAAAAGTTTTCTTTGTCAGAGAGCTTTTGAAGGCTTTTGTTGGTATTTGGAGGAGCAGTCGGTCTCTATCACCTCTTTAAGACATGATGAAATGGCTTTTCTCTGCAGTCTCATTACCTTTTTTGATTGAGTTGCTTAACGTTCCCTGATCGAGTCCTTTCCGCCCACTCTTCATGACTGAGATGTGCGTTTAGCACGCCAAATGAGTTCTCATTTACTCTCAGCAGGGAGTGAAGATTATTTATTTGTCTTTTTGTACGGGCTCATAGCTTCATGTTGAATAGAGGATACACCTTTTGACTGAAGTGGATTGATTTTGATTTGATTGGAACTCAAAGTTAGCTTTCGTGTGTTTTTAAATTCTTTGAATGTCATGAATTGTTTTTTATGCACCATGATAGGTCTCACAGAATGGGTTTTGCTGTTAAAAACGTGAGATGCATATCAGTGGAATGAAAAAAGGGCAATGTCTAGAAACGTGTTTTTTTGAAAGTTGCAGTTAACTTGAGCACTACAAAAGATGCGAACGCGAGTCATCAGCTAAAGACGTCTTTCTAGCGTTTCTACATCATAAAACAATGGCAAAGTAGAGTATTGGAATGGAAAAACATATTTTGTGTGAATCACTGCTTAAAGGGTTAGTTCACCGAAAATAAAAAAATATATATATCAGTAATTACTCACCCTCATGTTGTTCCAAACCCGTAAGACTGTTTTCGTTCATCTTCGGAGCACAAATTACGATATTTTTGATTAAATCTGAGAGCTCACTCCTCCATAGGCTTCTATTGTAATTGAAACCAGCTGGCCCAATAAGTAGGGAAAAACATGGTTAATAGTCCAAGTGATTACAGTAGCTGAACGTTAAATATAAAGCGACAAAAATACTTTTTGTGCCCAAAACCCCCTAAAAATAACGAATTTATTCAACTATTCATCTTCTTCTGTGTGGGCCTCAGAGTGAGTTCACATAGTGTAACGTAGAACGTAGGCCCAATATTGGCCTAATACTGGTTCTGAGTGTGATGTTGGCCAAAGTGAGCCTATGTTCTGATGTAGTGCTGTGCTTTTACTCTATGTGAACTCACTCTAAGGCCCACAAAGAAGAAGATGAATGGTTGAATAAAGTCGTTAATTTTTGTTTGTTTGTTTTGGGTTTTTTTGCGCACAAAAAAAATTGTCTCGGCGCTAGATAAACTTAAGGTTGAGCCACTGTAGTGAGAGATGAACTCTGCTGAGAGATGCACAGACTAAGTTTAGCTAATTCACATATGATTCTCTCTCTGTAATAATTGCATTAATAACTCCACTTTGCGTCGCGTGGCCACATTACCACCTCGGGTTTTCCGTTGAATTATATTTTCTAATAATTCAACGGCCCGTCGACAATTGTTTCTTACTTCGTTACACTTTTTGAACATTCATGGTAAATAAATCTCTCTTCCTCTGTTTCAGACCTCTCAGTAGCCGTGCAGAAGTTCTCCCAGTCTTTACAGGAGTTCCAGTTTGAGTGCATTGGTGATGCAGAAACGGATGATGAGGTGAACATTGGTGAGTGTGAGGTCAACTGCTGTTTTGAAGTCTGCTATTGCTGATATTGTTTCAGTCTTGTTGATGCATGTAGGAATTGCAAGGGATATCTCAGCTATTGGATAAAATGCAGAGCAAGTCTCCTGCTTGGGTTCTTTAGGCCTAGACAACCTTCTACGCACACATTGGCAATGGAATATCCATTTTATTACTCGCCATCCTCTCTCTCTCTCTCTCTCTCTCTCTCTCTCTCTCTCTCTCTCTCTCTCTTTCTAAACTTAGAGCTCTGTTTTTTTATGGAAGCTTGTTTCCGCCACTGAATATAAAAATGAAAAAAATAATTGTGACTTTTTATCTCACAATTCTGACTTTTTTCTCACAATTGCGAGTTTATATCTCGCAATTCTGACTTTATTTCTCAGAATTGTGAGATAAAAAGTCAGAATTGCGTGATTTAAAGTTGCAATTGCGAGTTATAAAGTCAGAATTGCGAGATATAAAGTCAGAATTGCGAGATATAAAGTCAGAATTGCGTGATAAAAAGTCAGAGTTGCGAGATATAAAGTCAGAATTGCGAGATATAAAGTCAGAATTGCGAGATATAAAGTCAGAATTGCGTGATTTAAAGTTGCAATTGCGAGTTATAAAGTCAGAATTGCGTGATATAAAGTCAGAATTGCGAGATATAAAGTCAGAATTGCGTGATAAAAAGTCAGAGTTGCGAGATATAAAGTCAGAATTGCGAGATATAAAGTCAGAATTGCGAGATATAAAGTCAGAATTGCGTGATATAAAGTCAGAATTGCGAGATATAAAGTCAGAATTGCGTGATAAAAAGTCAGAGTTGCGAGATATAAAGTCAGAATTGCGAGATATAAAGTCAGAATTGCGAATTATAAAGTCAGAATTGCGTGATATAAAGTCAGAATTGCAAGATATAAAGTCAGAATTGCGTGATATAAAGTACTTTTTATTTCACAATTCGGACTTTTTTTTCACAATTGCGAGTTTACATCTCACAATTCTGACTTTATAACACATAATTGCGAGTTTATATGTCGAAATTCTGACATCTTTTCTCAGAATTGTGAGTTTTAAACTAGCAATTGCGAGTTATCAGGCCAATTCTAAGGGGGGAAAAAAGACTAACTTTTCCCCCCTCAGAATAGTTTAAATCTCACAATTCTGACTTTATATCTCACAATTGCGAGTTTATATGTCGAAATTCTGACATCTTTTCTCAGAATTGAGATTTTAAAATCGCAATTGCGAGATATCAGGCCAATTCTAAGGGGAAAAAAAGACTAACTTTTCCCCCCTCAGAATAGTTTAAATCTCACAATTCTGACTTTATATCTCACAATTCTGACTTTATATAAAGCATTTCTTTATATCATGCATGACTTTATAACACGCAATTGCGACTTTGTATCTAGCAATTTGACTTTATAACTCGCAATTCTGACTTTATATCTCACAATTGTGACTTTATATCTCACAATTCTGACTTTATGTCTCACAATTCTGACTTTATATCACGCAATTCTGACTTTATATCTCGCAATTCTGACTTTATATCACGCAATTCTGACTTATATCACACAATTCTGACTTTATATCACGCAATTCTGACTTTATATCTCGCAATTCTGACTTTATATCACGCAATTGCGACTTTATATCACGCAATTCGGACTTATAACTCGCAATTCTGACTTTATATCTTGCAATTCTGACGTTATAACACGCAATTGCGACTTTATATCACGGAATTCTGACTTTATATCTCGCAATTCTGACTTTATATCTAGCAATTCTGACTTTAATGTTGCAATTCTGACTTTATATCTCGCAATTCTGACTTTATATCTCACAATTCTGACTTTATGTCTCACAATTCTGACTTTATATCACGCAATTCTGACTTTATATCTCGCAATTCTGACTTTATATCACGCAATTCTGACTTTATATCACACAATTCTGACTTTATATCACGCAATTCTGACTTTATATCTCGCAATTCTGACTTTATATCACGCAATTGCGACTTTATATCACGCAATTCGGACTTATAACTCGCAATTCTGACTTTATATCTTGCAATTCTGACGTTATAACACGCAATTGCGACTTTATATCACGGAATTCTGACTTTATATCTCGCAATTCTGACTTTATATCTAGCAATTCTGACTTTATATGTTGCAATTCTGACTTTATATCTCGCAATTCTGACTTTATATCTCGCAATTCTGACTTTATATCTCGCAATTCTGACTTTATATCACGCAATTCTGACTTTATATCACGCAATTGCGACTTTATATCACGCAATTCTGACTTTATATCTCGCAATTCTGACTTTATATCTCGCAATTCTGACTTTATATCTCGCAATTCTGACTTTATATCACGCAATTGCGACTTTATATCACGCAATTCTGACTTTATATCTCGCAATTCTGACTTTATATCTCGCAATTCTGACTTTATATCTCGCAATTGCGACTTCATATCTCGCAATTCTGACTTTCCATCTCGCAATTCTGAGAAATAATGAATTAAACTCGCAATTGTGAGAAAAAAAGTCAGAATTGTGAGATAAAAAAGTCGCAACCTTTTATATTTTTCATTCAATGGCGGAAACAAGCTTCCATAGTTTTTTCATTTGTATCTTTGTTTTATTGTATTTTTTCTATTGTTTGTAATTTGCCTATTTGTTATTATTTTTAACTGCTGATGTGGAGAAAAAAAAAACCTAATCAACCCCTAGTTTCAGGTGTTATTGTTAAACTGGATTTTCTTGATGTCAAGTTCTAGGTTGATAAAAACTATATATTACCAAGCTGAGCAAAGAGCTGTTTGTATTTAAATATTAGTATTAGGTTTATTTATTTATTTCGTTACCGTTGATGTTCAATCTACATTGTCAGGTTTGAGACATTACTTTTTATGTAATGCTGAAACACTGCTGTTCCTTTCAGAATTTCAGAAAACTTTCTTTTAAAATATAAATAAACTGTCCGCACACTTGAATTGCTGATTTAATCACCAAGTTTTCGGTAAACATAGAAAAACTCCCACTATTGGACTACAGCTGGATTTTGCAAGTGTTGGTAATCACTGTTGATTGTCCTGATGTGTTTGAACACAGTTAAATGGAATGTTACATTTATTGTCTGTAATCTAGCGTTTTTTATTTTTTTATAAAAGAACTTTAATAATAATAACTCAAATGTGGCATCCATGCAAGGAAATGTACGAATACATATGTGTTATATTAACCTGAACTTAAAAGAAAATTGAACTTAAATCATAACCGAGAAGTCCATTAACTCGACTAAGCTATGAACCCAACATCTGAGCGATAAAATGTTCTTCCAGACCCATTAAAGCATTAAACACAATCTGCTTAACCATTCTGAGATCATTATAATGGAAAGTTCCCCATATGCTCTGAGGAATAGTTTCCCTCCCAATTCCCAAATGTCCTGCACACTGTCCTAGATGGATGGGATTGTCATCTTAATCAAGACCTATCCCTGGAAATTTCATATGAGTTCATTGGAGCATAAATGGATTTCAATTCTTTTTTTTTCTCTCACTCCGGCCTCAGTCTTTTACTCTATTGAACGCAAACTTTTTAAAGCCTTAAACGTGTGAGCAGTCACTGAAGGACTTAGAATTCATCGTTTTGATTAGTAAATGCATTCTTGTATGAAAGCAAGCATTGGGCATGCTTGAAACCCTGTCCCAATCCAGATTTAGCTCAAGGCAGGTCTTGGTAAGATTGCCTGCCCGGCATGCATAATGTATTGTATTGATTTGCTTACATTCTAGACGAAAAGCTCTCAGCTCAGCCCTTTAAAAGATCAGAGTAACTAATTGTGATTTGTGTCAGAGATTAAGGAGAATGCAGACCGCTCACCCCACGGTGGGCACTGAGCAGATGTGCTGAGAGTTCGTACACCCTGATGGGTTGATCACTCATTCTGTTCGGTCTCTTTTAGCATCCATTCATCTCTTCCTGTACTTTTCTCATTCCAGCGTTCTCTCCTTATGTGTCATTACTTTGTTTATTATCTTCCTGCACTGCTCTGTGCATTGTGTGCTGGCTTGACACTCAGACCATCTGCATCTAACAGTTGGCTTCCAGTCTTTCCGTACTCTCGATCTCACAAAGCAACCTGTCATTGAGCCTACTACCTTTTCCCCTTCTTTTACCAGAGAGAAAAGCTAATTAAACATGTTGAGGTGGGGCAAAGCAATGCCATAATGGAGTTCATTTTGGCCCTTTAATATCACCATCTGTTCATCAGATAGGACTGTGATGACTTTTTGCCATTTTCCCCCCTATTTGTCATGGTTAAAAAGGATTTTGGGCAAGCTGACCATATTGGGAATGTTTTGTAAGGTACCAACACAAAGACATCTTTATGGCTGTTGAGCTAATGAACAGCTTTAATGGACAGAGACATTGATAGGTAGGAAATAATAGGGCTACAGCTATTGATTTACACTTGTAATGTGGCAGAATCATTTTGGTTTACATTCCATGGACAAGTGAATGTTGACGAATCCTGTGACTGCATGTTAATGCAGTCTCTTTGACATGAATCTAGCATTTTGTTCACAGTCCATTCAGTGACTCTGATGAATGCTGTGCATAGAAATAGCATGCCAGGCACTTTGCAATATTGCAGGATCGATCTAATGGTTTTATGCAACTTCCAGGTGTGTAGCTGTGGATGTTTGCTTAACACTGACTCAAAACCAGGCTTCATTCGCCTCAAAGGAAAGTATATTTACATTGTGTGAATTGTTGTGAATTGTTCAGTAACTACTAGCTATATTATAACTAACTCTCTACTTTATTCGGTTGCACCATTTTTAAAGGCAGAATGCACAGTAGCTAGTAGGTCATAAGCTCTCCATAAAGTAAAGCATAGTCACATAATGGGAAATTTACCCTAAATGTGGCCTTCAAATACGTGAGCAGAAGTTGTGTTGAATAAGTT